TGGAGGATAAACCTCCGCTGTACTTCGCAGTTCGACACCCAGAGTCACCCCCGCGCCACGATGAGGCGGACCATCACGGGAGAGCATCTAATAAACAACTTTATTCAAAATGGTAACATTAAGAGAAGTTTGGTGTTCTTCACTGTTTGAAAGCTTCCAATTCTTCCAGAAAGTTGTTGATATTGTTACCTTAGATTTCGCTAGACTTTCTTAGAGGAGGTGTTTGAATAACTCATTAGAAATAATATTTAGTCGTGGGTTACACGGCATATGTTTAAAAAGTAGACAGAAAGATGAAAACCTGATGATTTTGGAGCAAGTTTCTTCAAAAATTTTTTATACCGCATGAAATGGTTTCCATCAAACTCTATCTGACAATACGTTAGATTTAAATAATCAAGATTAAGGGATTATTTTTTAAAGATCTAATTTTCAAGATATTAAGTTCTGAATTTCATCGCCGTGATATGCTCTAGTAGATGCGAGTAGAGGATAGACTATATATATAAGATCCCTATATAACATCCCAATGACGACTGAGAAGCACGTAGACATGCATAATTCATGTCTCTAATGACATGGGAGCGATATAAGGCAGAGGCTAATCCAAAGTTTTCACTTCAAGGGATCAGGCAAATATAATACATACTCCGTTAGGATGGTGACTTATAATATATCTAAATAATAAAGCTCGTTAAATTTTACTTCAATTAAATGCTCAACGTTACAAACTTATAAAATAATTGCAGAATTAGATGGCCTATTAAGTCCAAGTCGTCATGGAGAACAATATGGATGTAGTTTTGGCAAAAATACCAAAACGCAGTACCTTAGATAATCGATTTGTTAGAAAAAAAAACATTAAAATTTAAAATGTGTTAAAGTTTGCTATGCTCATACTGTCATTAGTCGCAACTTTGATAAATCATGACAAAAGTTGCAGGCGAGCGCAATTTCGAACCATTGTTTGATTCTACACAGCCTTTAAGAAATCAATTTATGCACGTTTATCACATAAAATCCTACTCTCAAGAAAGCAGGTTCGAAAATTTCAACAAAATTCAAGCGGCATGTTGAAGGCAGTGCGAAGATGATCGTTGTTTTAAGCTAAGAGTGAATTGTAAAGTGACTTTTTGTTTTTCTGTCTTTGCTTTTCGAAGTGTTAAACTTTCTATTGTGGCAATAAATGGAGTCTGGTGATTTAGCCCATAATTTCCTCTCTATAATTACATCTAGGGCCTAATGCATACACCCTCATGGAGCATCTCGAAAGAAAGCGA